TTAGACCAGATAAAGTTATATGGGAGCTATTAAAATCAGGTTACGGGGACACCCTTCAAACCAAAAATGAGATATTTGATTCATATTATCATATGATATATGAACTTTATTTGGAGAAAATATTATTGACAACGCAAATTAGGCCATCAAAATTTCTCGTTTCTTTGTGTAACATCAGTAAACAAAATTTAAAATTAGATTTTAGAATGATTAACGCAAAATTAGTAAATGATCGACATTATTATTCGGATCCTTTTAAAATTTCAAATTTTTTAACTTTAATTAAAATATTTAATATAAACCATTATTAATAGTTTGAATGGATATTTTAATAGAGACCTAGAGGTATTATACCTTTAGTAAAATTTTTATATTGAAAAATATAGTTTTTTTTTTTAAAAAAAAATAAACATAAAAAAATAATTAAAAATCTTTAAAAATTAATTTTATTTTTAAAGTTATTAAATTAAGATTTTTCATTAAAATCATTTTTAATGATTTTTATAATTAAAACATTATATTTAAATTTAAAATTATTTTTCTAATAAATTAGTATAACAATATTCTGTAAGGTAATTTTAATAGCAAATTTAAGTATTATAAAATTGATTTCAAGTATTACAAAAATTAGTATAAATATTTTATAGGATAATTTTATATAATAGTATTTTATAATTACAAAAATTTTAAAAAATTATAAAATAATAAATTAATATTAAAATTTTATAATAAATTTTAGTATTATCTTACTAATTAATTTGACTCAATAATTAAAATTAGAATTATTTATTATTAATTAAAAATGTTTACTTACATAACATTTTTTTGATTATTATTTACTCAAAAATTAATTTCTTATTTTTAAAATAATTTTTAATAATTTATCTTCCATATAGTTTGATATTTTTGAATATTGAAAAATAAATAAAAAGGTGGAATATTATAAATCAGGTGATTTATACTAGATAATATAATTTTTTTTGATTATCTAATTTTTAATTTTAATTATTTTATATAACAATAAATTTTTAATATAATCATATTTAGAGTAAATTTTTATACAAATTAAATAGTTTACATTTCTTCAATATAAATTTCTTTAAATTAAAATTATTTAATTTTTTTTAATTAAATAAGTTAAAGATTTGATTATAATTAATAAATGAAAAATATTATAAATTTAATTTAAAATAGCTTTCTAAACTAAAAGATTGACATAAGTTAATTTATTCTAACTTAATTAAACTAAATTAAGATTTTTGTAATTTATATAATTAAATATAAACTATTATTTAAAATAACTTTAAATGAAAATTTAAAAAATATATCTATATATATATTTAATGTTTAATATTAATGATTTTGATTATAATTTAATAAATAAAACTTAATTTTTATAATTTTTAATAAAAAATTATAATTTTAAACTTAAAAAATTTTTATTAAAATTATAAATACTTATTCAAACTTTTTTCAAATTATTTTTATTATATTCTTTACTATATTTATAATATAATTATCATATAGTACCACCTATAATATCCTTCAAATCAATACTCCCATATTATAAGATTCGTTTATTTTATTAGATAAAAATTATCCTATATTAAAATCACTTAAATTTTTGACGGATTCCAATTACTACAACCATTTAAGTCTAGACTTTGATTGTAAAAATATTTATTGTAAATAAAGCGAAATACTTTCTTTGTAAGTTTATTTATGGAACTATGTATTTTAAATGTTCTTATTAAGAAACTTTTTGGATGGTTGAAATTGAATTATTTGTTTTATCATATTTTGCTAAAATATATCTGAATACAAATAAAAGAATTAAAAATTTTAATATGAATCCAAAATTTTTCACAATGTGTTCTCTACAATTTCATCGTTATAATTAATTAATTATTTTTTTTTTATTTTTTTATGAAGCAAAACTGTAATTCCCATATTCTACTTATGAATTTTTGAAGCGGACTTGTTTAACTGCATATTTTATAAAGTTGTTTTTTTATTACATAAATATTAGTTATTTAGATATTATAATATTATCTTAAATCGAAGTCAAAATTTGTCCGCTAAATTCCAGACGATTATTTCATTTCCAGAATGTCAGTCGCTCATAAATGATTACATCAATACATCATAGCATATCTATTGGAAAGAATTTAATTATCTGATTCAAAATGAATTTTATTGATTTTTTAAATAAATATTAACTATAATTTATCAACAAAAATTGATTATAAGACACTTTGCTCAATTTTAACTCGTCAAAAAATCTCTGAAGCTGATGAAAAAAAACTAGTCCGTACCTAAATTAAGGTAGACTGATAATATCCGGAGTAATACTTACTAGAATAATTTTTTAAAAGAAAATTCTTCAAGTAACTAGGTTTGTTGAGATCCATTAGTTATTTATTGCATTTGTTAGAATTCTACAATTGAAATATATATAGTCTGTTCTTGATGTTTACACGTCTTTGCTATTATCATATGATCTGATCACAATTTAAACTTATTTTTGAATGAACGGTTCTTAATTGGTAAAGATTGTTATGACGATAATTAACAAATCTTTTTTGGTATGCGGCATATTTAGTTAGACTTTGTAGATCCGTCTGTCCTCTAAAATATCTTCTAGCCAAATGTCGCCTAGTCCTCTAGGAATAATGCCCGCCCATTACCCAAAATTTGAATAAATTTTTTTTTTCCATTTTGAATTTTTGTACCATCTTGATTTAATAAACGGATTTCGGAAGTGTAGATCGCCAGATGTTCCGGCAATATTTGATTAGTGGATTTTTAAAACCTTCTGTTACCATTTCTTTGTTTATAAATATAAACCTAAAGAACTAAGCGCAACAATTTGGCAATCAATCATTTCTTTCTTTATAAAGTTTGACGAAAATTTATATAAATGAATGACGAAATGTAAATTTGCGGATTACGCAGATCGAATCAATTATGACATTAATATTTGTGGATATTTCATGTTTCAATTGATTAAATGTTATGAAAATTCTCATTTTTTTTTCAAATTTAGAAACAAAAACTTTTGAAGTTATTATTGATTAATATTAATGTCAAATATTTCGGGGAATAAAGAGAAATATAGAAACAATAAATAAAATTTCAAAATAAAATTATCTTCAAGGATAAGCGCACATCTTTTCAAAATCGCATCCAATCTTATCACCAAGAGTCTCTTTAAATTTGTTCCATTCGCAATATTCATTCTCGCAACCCGGAATCAAAAATGGTTTAAAATTGAATAACGCTCGTATCAATACGCGACCATCGGAACACTTATAAATTTCGAAATAAAGTGTAGAAGACCAGTTTAAAGTCTTATAATGTGTATATTTGAGATCTTGAATTTGTTCAAAAGTCAAATCTGCCGTGATTGGGTTTTTGTTTTTAAATACTCCCTGTAATTAATAAATATCAAATAAATAAATAAATATCACATGAATCATAAAAAAATAAATTATAAAAAGGATAAAATAAATAAAGATTTGTACACACCAATGTAGTAAGTATAATATATAATGTAAAACTATGAGCATTTTTTAGATCAGCAATCATACTAGAATTA